AAAGTCATTTAATTCAAAATCATACTTCCACTCATTTCATAGGGATTGTCACATAAACCAACCAAACACTAGAACTTCAGAGTGGCCAAGCTTCAGAGGCCACTCAAAGGAAACTGTATTTCTTAATAGATATGCTAAGTGACACAAAAACATGTTTTTATTTTAAAGCCTGAGCATGACAAAACTGTTTTACTAACACCAGAGAAAAAGTTCTATTCTAGTCACAGATTACTTTTTAATTATGGAGTTGGATTCTACACGCCAGTCAATACTCAATACTGAAGTTTAAAACAGTGCATTTATGGTAAAAAAAAAAAAAAAAAATTAAGGTGCCATTTTATAAGTACTTTATTGATATTATATCACACAGCACTTTACAGTATACTCAAAGGTAGCCTAAATATGAATTAAACATGCAAATATTTTCTTCTCCAAAATATGGACCAAAAATCTTTTTAGAGTGCTTTTGAACACTAGCCTAGCATAAACTACTAAGCATTTGAGTTTGATCTTTTTTTTTTTTTCCAACATGACTTTTAATAAGTTAATACAGAATGTAGCTGCAGAGAATAACCATTGGATAAATATGAACAAAGTTTTAAAATGGCACTTACTTTACATCTTTGATTATTTTGATAGTCAATCAACAGCCTCTCGTTTCCCTAATTCTCAACCTTCAAATCAGAAAGACTGTAAAGGCTCAGCTTACGTAGGTTGCTATATGATAGTATGTATCTTCACATATGGAACTATGCACTGTACATACGCATACAACACACATACTGACACGCAGTTGCTTGAGAACTGCCAGAAGAACCTCTTTTCACAGGTGCAAGGTTGATCCTGGCATCTGGACACCCTAGAAAGCTGCTTGAAGGTGTCTCTCTGGACAACTGTACGGACATGGTAGGTGGATCACCTTAGCCCCTGAAGGCCTGCTCCAGAGAAATCTGACATTTTGATGATACCAATACTCTGGTTCTGACTATGCTGAAGAGGATGTTGACATAATAGTAACTGCTCCCCTTACATGGGTGTAGGTCTATGCCAAGCTTTTGCTCTCTAAAACATTCTGCCTTGAAAGATGTTTTCATCTTGTGATGTCCTGTAAAACTTTTGGGAGAAATATTAGTTGTGACTTTGTTGTTAGATTTTTTATTTTCTTCAGTTCTTCAGTATAGCTCACTTTTCTCTCTGGCCCTGACATTACTTCCTATCTAATACTTGTTCACCCCCAAGAACACAGGTGTCTCCAGGAGAAGACTTCATTCTAGGCAGGGCTGCTTCTGAGTGACATCTGGATTCCCTACTCTGCTTGGGAAGCTCTTAAGTTAGACAAGCATGGTAGACGGCAAAAGGAAAAAAGCTAAGTATTACCTGTTGGAGTCTTGTCTCAGGCTTGCTATAGGATTGTACAAGGTTCACTGCTCTGCCACTGTTGTCATTTTGATGTTACAATTACAGAGAAGTGGTTCAGACCCAGCAGATCAGCGTGGCTGCCAAATGCATCTGAGCACAAGATCAATTTTTCAAACAGCAGCACAGGGTGTGTGAGGGCACTTGGCTGACTTTAAAGCGATGTGGGGCTTGTCAAGGTAATTGATTATTGTCAATTAACTTGCCATATAGAACACCTAAGATATTCCTTTTAAAGTATCAGGTAGCTAAGAGGTTTTTGGTTTCTTCAGTGCTGGCTACCATCATGGCAGCCAACAACCAACATGGTTGGTTGTTCATAAGATACTCAATCCCAGGGCAAACGGTGAGGGCTATGGGGCCCACTGTTGTACCTGGGAGCCATGTCTCTATAACCAGGTGATCCGACCTGCTTTTGGGGAAGCCAGAGAATGAAAAGTGTCAACAGTCCTGAACAGATGATGACCAGTTTGTCTTTAGCTTTGTCCTGTCTGTCTATCCCTCGATTGTACATGCTCTCATGACCCTCTGTAGTCAACTGTAACCAGGCTTGCAGTTTTCAGGAGACACAAACTCACTTGGTAGAAGGACCTCCCTTTGACCTACAGGTATGACATAGCCACCTCTGGAGTTCTGGGCAGATGCATGAAATGAGATTGTCACTAACACAGTGGCTCTTTCTTGCTAACGCCAATCAGCCAAGACATGTTTGCATATTTTCCCTCTTCCTTTGCCCAAAAGGGACTCAGCAAGACAAGGTGAACTGAAATTGTGTTGAATTAGACAGTTGGGTCTGATGTAAGAAAACACATATTGGCTGTAGAAATATGGAAACATTTAACTAAAACTGGCTCTAGTCCTAGGATACCAAGGAAAGCTGTTATACAGGGTCCATCTCTCTCTGTATAATGTGTGTGTATTTGTATGTATTTTTTAAACAGGAGAGAATATCATCATCAGTCTTGAGGAAGTCAGGAATTCATTTGCCTGGGGCAGGGATTTGAAATAGTTCTCTTCTTATGGCATGGCCTTCTTTAGCTATGAATTCTGGGAGTACCAGAGGGAAATATGAGAGACTGATCCTAATGTCCTACGAAGATTCTGGCTATGCCCAGGCCTTTATATGGGAACTCGAGGCTCCAGGGAAACGGGCTTCTACTCTGACACTCAGTCCTCTAGTTTGCCCTGAGGTTCAAGCAGAGAGTTAGAGAATAGGGTATAGATGGTAGAGAGAGTAAAATGTATTTTTGGTCTTTAAGTTTCTTCCTGCTTGTTGGCTCATCTTCAGAACAGGTTCTCTAGTTCTGCAGCTAATGGGGGAGGAGGGGAGCCAGGCTGGAGAAAGAGATATAGGGTGGCCATCTGCCATAGGCCCAACATGGCCACAGAGATGCCGGGAAGGGGGTCTACCAAAAGAAAAAAAAATCCCATCGACAGCAGCCCTATTTTCCTCTGTCTTTCAACCAGGACCAACTGAGGAGTAAGGGACATGGTTCCAAGTGGTCAAGCTGGGGCCAAGTATTTACAGAGATGCTTCAGTAAGGAAATCCTAAGGCCAGGCCTGGCCCTTCTGATCCTCCACATTAGCTCCAGTTAACTGAAAATGTCCAATGTGTTGAAAGCACTGGAAAGCACAATGATGTATGAGAAGGCTTGTCTTTCAAGGTCTGTTTCTCAAGCTGTCCAAAGTCCATGGGAACAGTTGAGTCTTAGTATACTCCCTTTCCTCTTGGGTTTTCAATGATAACTTTCTTTTTCTATTATGTTCTGGTCCTTTCTTAATACTTGTTCCCTGATCCAATGGTAATGTGTACCTAGCTCCTGGGTGAGTTTCTGAGTAACAGTTGTATAATCCTTGAGCTGATAAACTAAATAGTGAGTGACATTGATGAACTTTTAACTTTAAAACCATCTATAGAGCTATAAGATCACAATTTTCATCCCTCTTTAGAGTCTTTTTCTTATTGTGGGGTTATTAGGAAACCTGGAGACAAAAGGACATAAAAATGTTTAGGGAAAGCAGCAATTTATCAAGAACCAAAGATCCTAAGAATCCAGTTTTTCTCAGGACTCACACACACACTAAATTTGCAAACCAGCCTGACCTCATTTATAAAGCCTAACACAACGTGGAGAAAAGATGTAAGGAGCACAGGAATTGTCCGTCTTGCTCTGTCCTGATATCTTGGGGTACCAAGTACACCTGAGAAGAAAACCTAAGAAAATCTAACCCTTGGCCCCACCTATTTAAATCCTGAGCATTTCTCTACTAAAAGGAAGAGTTCTAAAGATCTGTTGCCTGAAGGTGTTCTTTCCATCTTGCTCCAAATCCAAAGCCTGAGAAATTCTCAGAAAAAAAAAAAAATCTGGATAAAGACAACTGGGCAATATTAATTTGTCACACCTACCAACAAGACCCAACAGAGAGCACAGAGGAGTATTTTCTCCTTCCTCAAGGCCAGAGCAGACAGGGTCTTGACTACCTTTAGTTTTGCCACTTCTCTCCCTCTTACGTATGCCTGTTCAGCAATCAAAGCTTAAATGTGTGGAGCAACTAGCTTAAAGAATATCAAATATAAAACTTTGCCATATATATTTTAAATCACTCTATTTACAACTTTATCTCTTCAAAAAAAAAAAAAATGTAAAAGATACAGTAATACAACACAATTCAAGTTTTTCTTTTCTTCTTTAAAGTTCCCTAAATAGAAATTTCAAAAGGAAGGAAACACTCTCTGGAACAATGCCATCATCCCAAGGGGCTCCTGGGAGCTTCCTAGTCCACTGGTTTTAGTTGGTCTGTCCAGAGTCACTCTTGCAAGGACATTCAAATGTGGAAGATAAAGGTGGCTGTTCTCTGGAGGCTTAGTGAATCTGGAATGTCCAGGCCTTACTTTCCCACCCAAGCCAGAATTCCACAAATGCCCACAACACCCAGCCCCTACTTGACCAGGAGATTCCTTTTTTCTGAAGGTTCCCATTCTATCTTCCATCTTCCCAACCTTTGGTGTCTTCCTGAATCACAATGGCTATGATATTAGTCTCGTGCCTGTATAGCCCGAGAAGCAATTCCCTTTTTCTGTGTGGCAGTGAACAAATATGTCATTGAAACTGTAGTCCACAAGGTTACCTGGGAAACATCCATGGAAACCACCAGTGCACAGCTCCAAGCTGCAATGGAGCCGGTGAGTGACAGGCTAGAGGCAGGCAAGGGCAGGCCAGGGATGATGTGAATGGGAGGCCACAAGGGAAGCAGTCAGACAAAGGGAGGGCATCACCCATCGGGAACATCATCTTGTCCTCTAGACAGCAAGCATCAGTTGCATGGAGGAACACATGTTTATCAAGCCAGTAAGCAATTTAATCTAAAGAAGTTACTAGAGTGTGCTCCCAATATGTCTTGATGCTTACTGAACTTCATCAGAAAGGGGACAGATAGTTCCTAGCTGCTATTGTCTGCCTCACGTAAATAATTTCAATTCCTTGATCTTTTGCTTCAAGTTGTTAGAAAACCATTTTAAAAACTACCAAAAAGGGGGAGAAAAAACACAGGTGCCAAGCAAAGAGTGTGTGCTATTTTTTGTTTTGGTTTTAGAGTAGGTTGAGTTGCCATAGTTACTAGGTGATGGCAGCCTTCTTCGTGGCAGAGAAGTTCTTTGCTTGGGAGGGGGTTCGTGGGGTGTGTGTGTTCCTGTGCATAAGAAGGCTGGACTGAGTTCTGCTGCTGATGAGCCAAATGCTGCTTCAGAGATGGTGAGAGATTGGATCTTATGTAAACAGTGCCATAACCCCTTTCCATCCTGCATGCAAACAGGCCCTGCTGCCTGTAGCAGTGGGTCTCAAGTATTTAGAGGTGAAGTAGAGACAGTGTCTATGGTAAACAAAAGCCATGGACCCAGTCAACTTCTCTGCTCACTTCTGTTGGACTTAGCTATGTTGTATGGTCTTAGGGACTACTTTTATCTTACTTCCTCTTTCAGAAGGTTGGGGTTTGGATGGCTGTTGAAAAAAAAAAAGAGTGCTCCCTACTTAGGGCACTCATGAGAAAATGCTTTTGCAAGCTTTTTTTCTGTGTTATCAGAGTCAAATGGCTGCCTCTGACAATTTACTTGTTTCCTGCAGTATTGCTGTGCATCATCTGAGATGATCATGGGGATAGGTTACACCAGAGTCCACAGAAATGTCCATGTTGACAGGTATCAACAGAGTCTGTCACTCTGCGTTTCTCAGTGCCAAAGAGAAATGGTCTACAACACTGGAATCAGCAGTTGTCATGGATACCATGTAAAGCTCAGCAGTTCCGCTGGGGCCCATGGTTAGAGGAACTCCACGTAGTTCTCAGGGATGAGGCCAGTCTTTCCATTCAGAGTCCCCTCCAACCAGCCAGGCTCCTGAGATGGATGAACTGTACAGGAAGGGGAGAGTGAGAAGAGATGACATTATAAATAGGGCAGGAGCTGGATGTGTGCTATGTGTGTGAAGAAGTCTGGAGAAAGCATCACCCATTCAATTATACAATTCTAGAAGTTCATTAAAGCAGAGGTTGGTTCTTAACTTTTTATGAGACAAGCTTTCTGATGAAGGTGATTCTAAACTTCTCTACAAGAAAAAAGGAAACAGACACAGACACTCAAAATTTTGAAAAATTATAGAGGTCTCACAAATAGAATTTCTGAAGTCCCTGATTTTAACTATAAAGAAGTGACAGATTTCTACTTTTTAAGGTTTATATGTCCAACAGTTATACTGTTCCATCTATCCTTCCATCCATCCATCCATCCACCCACCCACCCATCTACTTACCCAGGAAATACTTACTGAGTACTGACTATGTACTAAGTGGAGTATCCATGGAGGACTCCTAAAGAACTATTTTTTTTTTTTTTTATTGTGATTTGGGTGAAGATTTACAGAGCAAATTCACTCTCGATACAGCAGTTCACATATACTTTGTCTCATGTCATTGACCACAGTTTACCACAATGCAACAGCTCCCCTCCAACTTCCTCCCCATGGTACCACTTCCCAGTATCCATCCCTCCATACTCTCCTGCCCCCTAAGCTGTCTCCCTGTGCATAAGTTGCCCTTCCTTCTCCCATGATTGTTCTCTCGAGGGCGTGTGTCTACTTGAGGTAAATGAAGAACTAGTTTTTAAAGGTAAGTAGCTCTGATCTTGCACTCTACTTTTCTTCAAATCCTTACCCTCTGCTTCTAATTTCCTTGTCAGTTTTCTGTTCTTTTGCATTTTACACTCTTTTATTAGCCCTATTTCTGTTCCACCCACTCCCTTTCTTAGTTTTCTTCTTTCTTGTTCTCTAGAACATTTCCCCTCTTATATGCAAGTCTGAGTGCTGTCTTCTTCTTCCTTTTATTGCAACATTCAAAGTTTTTGCTCCTTTAATTTTAATTATCCAAAGAACATATACCCATTTCTGTGACATCACAATCCATGTTCATGGAAAGCACTGTGATATCGTGAAGATTATATAAAATCCAGCTGAGTCTGCAAAGTCAACAGCAGGAAGGAAGAGAGAAGGAATTGTGGGATTGAGTGGTGGGGGTTGATCATGCTTGTGAACTGGGAATATACAAATCACTCTTGGGTGGAGCCACAGTGCTTATTCTTAATGTTTTAGGAAAACTTCAATTTTCCGAGATTGTTCGAAGAGAATGAAAATTTCCCCTATTCCCTTCCTGGGCTAATTAAGTGACTTCCTGAGCTTGTTTTAGAAAAGCATTTCCGCCCCAACACTACTATATAATTCTAGTTTTGGTTTGTAGGGAAAGAAGCAAGAAGAGATATCAGAGAAAGCAAATGGGCAGGCAGCAAAAGGAAAAGTACTGAGGCTTGCAAAAATCAAACCTGATGTTGTTAGAGAGGCTGGTGGGTTTGAACCACTGACCTTTCAGTTAGCAGATGAGCTGCTTAACTACTGTGCCATGAGGCCTTAGTGATCCTATATAACAGGGTAGAACTGCAAGATAGAGTTCCCAAGAAAGGAGTCCTGGTGAAAGGTCAGTGGTTCAAATCCACCAGCCACCCTGTGGGAGAAAGATGTGGCAGTCTGCTTCTGTAGAGTTACGGCCTTGGGAACCCTACAGGGAAGTTCTACTCTGTCCTATACGGTCACTGAGTTGGAATCAGCTCCATGGCCATGAGTTGTTGCTGTTTTTGTTGGGCTGGGGGCAATCTTTACAGAAGCAGACTGCTCCATCTTTCTCCTGTGGACCTGCTAGTGTGCTCAAACCAGTGATCTTCTGGTTAGCAGCCAAGCTGCTTAACCTTGGTCCTACCAGGGCTCCTTAGAAGATGAATGTCTAACTTGCCTAGACCTCGAATGCTCCTTTAGGAAAAGACAAAGTCTGCCTCCATAATGCTTGCCTAATTTTCACATTCCTAGACTTCAGGAAAGAACAAAAAGTGGCAATGATACTCTGGATTCAGGACAACCCATGCAAAGAAGACTCTGAGAAAGAAGTGCCATGGAAGGAATTAATGCAACTTTAAAGTGACCTGACCTCTCCAATTACCAAGGGTCTCCAATTTACCCCATTTCCCCCCTAGTAAAACTGTAGCACTAACATAATTTTGCCCTCTGTCCATCCATACATGCATGCTGAAGCCACCAACATCACTTCAGTTTCTGAACCTACATGTTGTTGTTTTGTGCCATCGAGTCAGACCCGACTTATAACGCGTTTAGCTTTGGGTTTCCAAGGCAAAATCACTATGGAAGCAGATTGCCCAACTTTCCTTCCGAGGAGTGGCTGGTGGGTTTGAACCGCTAGCCTTCTGGTTAGCAGTCAAGTGCCTTAGGCACTATGCTACCAGAGCTCCTACATAGTGACAATAATAAATCTGGCCTCTTCTCAGTATGTTCTTGTGTGGATTAAGTGAACTAACATGGACAAACTACTCAGCAGAGCTATGCACACAGTCTGTAGGAGATCTTATGTCATCTGACTGGTCAGCAAGACTTACAATCATACTCCTGTGAAAACCTGGGTAAGAGGGCTTGGCCTCTACACCTACCCCAAGCTTCAGGAAACAAATGTTCAAATCAAACCAAGCCAGAAAGCCAGAAAGAATAAACCAATCAGCCAGCTAAATTCGAAAGCAAGCCCCTCCCACTTCACAGCATAGCTCCTACTTGGGTTGTTACCCCATCTGATGTACTTAAGTCCATCTCTTTCAGACACATCTCCCTTCCTGGCCAGCTGTTCAAACATAGTTCAGGTGCTAAACTGGTACTGTTGATAAACATTAGAACTGGAATCTGCAGACTAAGGGAAGGCTCAGAGTAGACAAGGGAGGGCCTTGAAACTAGAGGCCAAGAGGTAAGTCACAGGGGACTGTGAAGACAATGCAGACTGCTGACTCATGGGAGTCTTCAAGTCAGAGTTTGCTGAAGTATGGTACCAGATTATGTGCATGAGAATCACTTGGATGCAGATTCTTGGGCCCCAAGTGATATTGATGAAAGCAGGATTTCTGGGATTGGGGTCCAGAAATCTAAATTTTAATTAGTTCACAGAAAGTTTGGATCTACAGCTTTTTCATGCCTAAATGCCTCTGCAATGAGGGTGGTAATAAAAAATTAAAACACGAACTTTCACCAACAGATGGGGGGAGGGAGGCAGCACCAGGTGCTCCCTTGAATCTGCTGTATTCTATTTTCTTTCTTCAAACTTTAAGGCTTGGCTGAAGCCCCCTTTCTTCATAGATAACATCATAGAATCCTATTTACTTACCTTCTTCCCTCTCTTCTCCAGGCTCCTAAAATGCTCATAGCACATTCTACTATTAATGAGCACTACTCATGAGCACTAATGTGCTGGCTGCTGTTAGATGCCAGAGTCAGTTCCAGCTCATAGGGACCCGGCCCAGTCCTGTGCCATCCTCACAATTGTTGCTATGTTTGAGCCCTTTGTTGCAGCTACTATGTCAATCCATCACACTGAAGAGGTCTTCCTTTCTTTCACTGACCCACTATTTTACAAAGGATCATGTCCTGGTCCAGGAACTGGTCCTTCCTGATAACATGACCAAAGTACGTGAGATGAAGTCTCGGCATCCTCCCTTCTAAGGAGCATTCTTGCTATACTTCTTCCAAGACAGGTTTGTTCATTCTTCTGGCAGCCCATGGGCATATTAATGGTGCTCAAATCTGTCAAGCTTTGCTTTCCTAAGTAGTTTTGGTGTCTTTTAGTTTGTAGTATTGCACTCCCTGGCTCAACAACATTTGGTGCTCCTTTGGTCTTGTGTATTATAATGATGGGAGCTAATGCTTACAGAGGGAGTGTGGGTGGCATAGTGCCTAAGGCACCTAACTGCTAA